ACCCTCCCCTCAGCCCCGGTCAGGCCAGCTCTGGGGCGGCTCTCTCACAACGTGCCTGTCTCATCCTTCTTTCGTCATGGCCACTGGGCTTCCGACAGCGGGTGCCAGGACGTAGCGTTTTGAAAAGGGACCAAGCTAGTCAGGCAAGGTTGGCTCGAGCTCTGCTCTCTGAACCTCAGTTTTCTCATCTGTAAAATGGGCATCATCCTGCTCGCCACCCAGGGATCGTGTGAGAATGCAGTAAGGGAATGCCTGCCAGGCACCAGTGATGCCTGGCACTCCAGCGGTGTCGTGAGCCCCGTCTCTCCCACCTCCACTCAAACTTGCCCTGCCTGAGCCCCAGAGATGTCTATGAGAAGACTTTTACATCCTTGTGTTTAAGTGCCACAACTCCTACCCTGGCTTCACAGCCAACTCAGGCCAGGCATGGTCCCTCACGGGCCCTGGACACCCCTCCTGCACACTCTGTCCCCTCCGTAGACTCTGTTCTGTAGAATCTCCAGTCCAGGGAGGTCTTCAGCTGCCATACTGTTAGCTAAAAGTCCTCCATGCCTGGCATCAGGCCTCCTGGCCTAAAGCACTATTCTTAGCACCCTGAGGGGTCCCTGGCGTGCCCTCTCTTGCCATGCCCCAGGCAGTTTATCTCTGTCTTCCTACTTGTCCAAACATGCAGTCTTCAGCTGGAAGATGCAGCAGACAGCTCTCCCACATGATGAGCCAGGCAGGGGCCTAAGCCCTTCACACATTAAGGCCTTTCATCTCTGTGACCCCCTGACCAGTAAGCCTCGCTTTACCCAGGAGAAGACTGAGAGCCGGAGGAGAAGCCACCTGCCCATGGACATGGAAAACTTGAACTTGGGCACTAGTATGCAGACTGACTCTCAGATGCAACTGCCTTGTCCCCAGGCCCGTTCACTGTGGAAGACAAAACCGCGCTGCACTTTCCACGGCCTACCATTTGCTCCCTGTAGAGGGGAACGAGGTACTTTAGGGATCTCAGCACCCCAGCTGGCAGCCATGACTCTCCTGCCCCATAGCCCGCACTCT